TTGTCATAAGCCCGCTATTTTTATCAAAAACTCAATTTCATGACGAATTCTAATACGTTCTATAAAAAAACACAATTACTGTGTTTTATGACACCTCGTACTCTAAGTGATTTTTATTGTTCTCTTATCTATTGAGGATACGAAATTATTTCTTAAACAGGTAAATGCTATGAAAAAAATGTATTTATTTTTTCTCAAATGTCATAGAGAATCCTAAAAATAAACTATAGTTTCGACACAGCCAGCTGTGCACCGAAAACGGTATTAATAATGTGTTCAAATGACATCATTTATATTAGATCGGTTGGATACCTCTATAAAATATTACATAAACAGCAATATTTGCCTATTACAGAGATACACTGGTTTTCCCCAAAGCTAATGCTTTAAGTATGTTGAATTTACTTAGAAATAACATAACATATCATCACGCCTTTTATTCCCCGAAGGGGTAGAGCACACATTACAGCACTTAATGCCTCTGTACAATGTAACACCCACTTTTCACTATTTATGTTATGAGTCCCATGTAATAGGGGGTGAGCCTATTGCCATATACCGGGCACAATTCCAAACTCCGTGCTTCGACTGAGATTTTTATAAAAAGCCCAGTAGTACTTTGCCGGACTCGGGAATCGAACCCGAGAGCCAATGCCCGGCAGTCGCTCTTACGACCACTCGGTCAAAGAAGCAATCAATACTCAGAAATATGATAATTAACATATGACGTCTGTAATAATTATCTTCTCTTGTGATATTGTAGCATAAATCAAGTATTGTTCATATAGACTACAAGCTGATTACGCAGAATCTGTCACTGTTACACCTATAGCAATTAAAACATTTCTATCTACCACAGTGGCAGACTGTTAGCCTGCCAGGCAGTCCCGGAGAACCTAACGGGTTACCGGGGCTCCGGCTCGACGTGCAGGAGAAGGAACGGGGTGGTTTTTAGTCAGTAAGAGTCTGACACTCCCTCCCGCCTCACCCAGGCGGGAGCAGACATTCGATGATTTTCCCCCCTTAAAAATAAGTAAAAAAAAGCCTGTCAGGCAGACCGGAAGTTAGCATTCCTGGCAAGTCTGGCAATTGAATGAGTCGCTCGTATCTCATCGGATTTGGCACGCCAGTCCATTGATGGTCCTTTACAACCGGTTTCAATGTGGAAAAGCTTATCAATCAAATCATTAAGGTCATGTTGTAAATTTGTAATTTATAATTATTTTATTATCACGCGTAGGCGAGGGATTAAAGTTTTTTGTTGGTAATTTAATAATCAAATTATTATTATTGTGAGAGGAAGATGTGTAGTTGTGGGGTTTTTTGAGGTATGTTCGTTTGTCTTTCCTTAGTACGTTGTTAATTATGTGCATACCTATTTTATTTGTAATTAATTTCGTCCGTAGTTTATGTAGATTAAAATAATCATTTATTATCGGAATACATGTATTAACTATAAGAGAATCTGTGAATATTCTCGTCCTTAGAATTATAATTGCTCAATGTACTTACTATAAAGGCGCTTTTAAGCAACGATTTTCACTAAATCTCAACTTAAAAACACAAATTATCAATGTATTACAGCTTTGAGCTTAGAGTGGAACAGTTCTAAATTGACGAGGTCCATTCAGGAACTTGACACGTGCACGAGCACCGCCCAACTCATTCATGTTACAGGAATAATTTGAACAGTACAAATGCAACTGTAAACTGTCAAACACCAAGCGGTCACCGGTGACCGCAACCTATTGTTCTATAATTGTGTCTATAATGACGGTACTCGACGAGTTAAATTGTACTAAATCCTTATTAAACCGTTACTCCCGAAAGCTTGGATAGAAACACACGCAAATATCTATAAAATCTCCACTCTCATAGTTCTTTATACAGAGTGTGTGTAAAACTGAGTTCGTGGTAGATTTACAGCGTCATTACCCAACGTATAAACGTTTAAGTGCAATCGATAGTTTTATGGCCCCTGTATTGTTTTAAACGATACTGTTACCCTGCGATTTGGGTGGTACGCCGTAACTACTATTTTTAGATAGTTTGTCTAACATTAGTGGATCTTACAAATGATTTTTATTTGGTAAGTATGCTGTTTTAATTTTAGGGGTCTCGGTAAATAGTTTTATCAGCTAACGATGAAGCTGCCTCGTTGACCGAGCGGACGCAAGTGCAACTGCCAAGCAAGGGGTCTCAAGTTCGATTCCCGGGTTGGGCAAAGTACTACTGGGTTTTTATAAAAATTCTCAATAGTAGTACGGAGTCTGGAATTATGCCATGTCAATAGGTTCACCCCTATTACATGGGACTCATAACATAAATAGTGAAAAGTGGGTGTTACATTGTATCGTGGCATAATGTGCACCTTTGCCTACCCCTTCGGGGATAAAAGGCGTGATGTTATGTTATGTTTTGTTGCGAAACTATCATGACAGTGCAATTGGCACTGTTGAGTTTACGTGTTGTTCTAAAAACTAATCGAAAGAAGCAATTTTATTCATATACAATGAATATAGTCTTAAATTATAACAAAGTTTTGGGGGCTTGTGTCAGAAATTAGAACTTCTCCACAAATGAAAAAGGAAGACATTCTTTAATACGAATTATCCTCTACTCAGAATATAAAGTTATAAACTGCTGACATTTACATATCCCTTTTTAGCATTTGGCCTACAATACTAATTGGTGCAGGTCAGACATAGGTACATTTAATGAAATTGGAATAGCAACTGTTCTGATCTAGATTCCAGGAATAAGTGAGTCTGCAGCGATGGGGTCAGTAGGGTAGCAACTATTTAAGTACTGTTAACAGGAGTATTTGTGGATTTTACTAATATAAGTTGCTAATTGAATAAAAGGTTTTCAGATATATTTGATAGTTTAACGCTTTTAAAGATGCTAGATTAACGCTGTTCAGTTTTAAATCATAGTTGAATGGTTGAACTATAGTATTTTGCAATATGTGTAGTGCGAATGTTAAAACGGTAACCAGAGCTCGTCGTAATTACAATGATAAATCTTATCTTGTAACAGTGCTAGTAGAGAAAAGCTAGCGACAGGTTTCACGGACTTCAGGGTATGTTTGAGTAGTTTAGCCTGGTTTGTTCTGGAGTCCTGTGCACCATGATCTGAAAGTTGGTCGTTGTATTATCTCTAAGGTTACGTACACCTTTGAGTCATACATAGACACATATCTACATAATTTTTGCTAAAACAAAAGTTATTATTATTTGATTTTAGGTACTATATAGCTAGTAATATATTCCACAATTTTTTAAAGATAATAATAGAGTCTATGAATAAAGAATATTATTTAATTTAGTGTCCTAATTGCTATACCTACGTAAGAAGAATAAAAATCGTATAATATATTTAAAACTTATTCTTACATAATGAAACAAACATCGAAAATACTTTAATGAATGCCTTTTCTTTATTCTTGAATAAACCCATTATTATATTTCCAACAGCCAATACGCTCGCGTCATTTTAAACTTAGAACGTAAGTTTGACACTAGATTTAAAAACAAGTGATCTCATTGGTTGATTTGTTGGACATTTAGCAAAGGAATGCAGACACTTTTTATTGTTAAGATTAGCCTTTTTATTACATCATACGAATTGAAAACTTTTGACATTATGTCAAAGATCACGGCGTATTATTATAAGGCATTCTGTTTCGAATAATAGCCTCGTCGGGTAATTTTCCGATCATTACCATACAAATACGAGAAAGTGATCTCTTAAATGATTTTGTTTTGTATTATTTGTGTATTTTAGAGGAGAAAGCTTAATGTAATGGGATGATTATGTAATTAATTGGCTGTACTGATGGCCCCTCCATATATTTCGCTGTCTCTTCAATCAAACTGTTGTGTGCAGACGACACTTATCTCATAAATTATTCCATCACTTAATATTTTAATTAAATACTAAATGCCCTTCAAGTATTGTAAGTTTTATTAAAACTGAATGTAAATTACAATAAAATGTCAATGCCCCCAACAGCATATCTATATTAGGCAAATGTAAAACTTTTGTCTTATTTTTAAATAAGGTCGTCTGCATAATGATTTAGTTTTAATAGACGCTTTTAGTCGCAACACGATCACACGTTTCGATGCTTCCCACTGGGCACTGGGCAATCTCTTCCTTTATACCTTCATTCATGACTATTGCATGTACTTACCACTGTCCATATATAGCTTCTATAGAACCTAGTTCATGTGGTGTTCATACAACGTTACTACAAACTGTTCAGATTGGAATAATAAAATCTAAAATTATAATTCAATTAAATCGAAACCCACATTTATTATTCGAAATAATTTTTTGAATAATAAATGCTCTTTATCCGTAAAGTCTGTTTCAATTGTCAGTTAAAAATAGAATTAATTATTCATTCTTCAATAAGTGTTTTGTTACTAATAAATAATTCATCGAGTGATTATGCATTTATGTTAAGAATACAATTTATCCAGTCTAAACAGTGATGGTGCTCTAATAGACGAGACGATGAAGTTATTGTTTTTTTATTACCTTTTATTTCGTTTCACAAGACTTTTTTATTAATTCAGTCTCCTTTTCTTTAATAAATTTTAATAGAATTAATTTAATTAACGCCTTGTTATGTCCGAACTAGATTTATCTAGATTGATTTTTATTTTATGTTTATGTTGATTTTCTCCCGCGTGATGAACCTTCACTTGCAAAAACCGAGTTAGTGAACTGCCACAACTTTCCAGACTACAAGATCCTTAGCCTTAATTGTAACAACATGACACTTCAGCGTGTGGTTGACGAAGGTTACTCAAGCCCGTAGTGTGATGTAGATAGTCGCTAGTCTGCTAGAGAGAACTAGATACTAGCAGAAATGTTGAGTTGGTCCTTAGAGTAGCCCTGACCTAGTCGAGTAGTACCTAGATCCAGGCATCCCAGGTGTGGACATCGAAGTGTGTGATCTCGGTGCGAGGTGTGACCGGGGTTGTGCACAGGGTGGCGGCGAGGTGCGGGCGGGGCGCAGCAAGCGGCCCTCGGCGTCGTCGACCGGGTCCCTCGGCCGGGGCGCGCTGTCCGACCCTGATCTCCAGAGCCGTCTGCAGCCCAACCTCCCAGCGTTCTGGGTTCGTATCTGTGTGTTGGTGATTGTGGGCCCCGCTTCCAGCCTTCTGATTTACTTGTGGCTTTATTTTGAGATACTGTTTCTGCTTTGTCGCAAAGGTAAGTGGAAGGTGGTGGTGCTTCTTATGAACCTTAAAGGACATTGTTAGTTTAGGCAAGCTTCAAGCTCAATTTTAACTTGAAAATTATACTGAAATTCTTTTCAATAGCCAGTAAACAGCAATAATAATGATCTGCTATCAATAACGCACTGATAATATATATTAATCTATTTAAATGACATACAAATGTACGAATAATGCAAAGCACATTAGCAAATTGCTTTAAACACGCTTGCTTACACGCTAACAAATATAATGTGAGAGCTATTTTTATATTTAGGCACTGCTATAAAGTGTAAATTAGTTCTGAGAATAATGAACATAAAACACAATAAGGTGGTCGTTAATAACTTCTTAAAAGACAAAATCGATCGGTACCTATTTAATTTAGAATAACAAAAAGCATTAATACTTATTTTTAGTTTTCGTTTTGAATAACCGAAAATAGAAATTAATTTCAACACAGATTTGTTATACGAAAAGATAAGAAAATTTACTTTTTTGAATTTTAATCTTACTATTCCGAATAATTTTAGCGGTTATACTTTAATTTTATAAATCGAATAAAACGACAAACAATTTTAATTTATTGAAATTAAAATAACAGCGAAGTTATTTTGCATAGAGGTGACATTTTATTAAAAAAAAAACATGTTTAATCTAGGCGAATTGTAGAGTTACCGCGTTGATATCGATCTAATCTATTAAAATCAGAATTGATCAGTAAAAATTCAAGTTTTCAAATAGATAAGGTCATTATGGGAACAGTTTAATTTATTCATTATTAATTAACTGACTCTGTAGAATTTTATTATAATTTCATTATGGAGTATCAGTACTTTATCGCATGTTGGAATTTAAAAAATTCGTGTTAATTGATTTGTGTCTATAGAATAAAAAATCTAGATTATTAGTTAATATCACCTTGCATAATGATATTTAAATATTTCATTTAATCTTAGTTGCTGAAAATTTAATCTTGGGAGCGATTTCTTGATCGGGCAGGTTTTTATTAACTAAAATCGCGGGTTACATACGTGGATATACCGAGAAAAGCTCTACTAGTTTCGAACCACAAAGGGGTGCTTCCTCATGAGCTACTCAGTCTAGTGAGTAGGCTGCGCGACGTCGCCGCGACCGCGCATGCTGCGCATGAGGAAGAACCCGCGATTTTAGTTAATTTAGTATGTCTTATGAAAGTTATTGTAAAAATAATATTTTTATATTTAAACGTAAGTATCGAAATCTTTGAAACTAGCTTTCCACCTTGACGAATACTCGGTGTGTTATTACGTCTATATTATACATTGCATAATAAAATATTCAATAAATAAACCAAATTCAGAATATTTTGTTAGTCATCGGAAATTATACTGAACCATTAATTAAATTCATTGCAAAAATAAACATAAATCTTTAATATGCTACGGTTTAAGGTTTAAAATCGCTTGGCCATATACTGTATCCTCTATATTGTTTACCTTTACTTCAAGAATAAAACGATTTGCATTCGTTTAATATATTAGATCGAGTTTATTATGTCCTTAAACTTTGATTATTAGATACATCTTACCAAATACTAACTATTTTTATTATCAACACTTACCTAACCGGTGCTAAACAAGATTAGACCTTGTGGACATAAAAATAAGTGCTACATGTGTTTATACTGGCATGTCTTCGGTTTATTTATTGCACATTGCGTAGATTTCTCAGACGTTATTCTAATATAATTCGTATATCGAAATGCCGACTGATTTTAATAGAAATCATTGACATTGTTTATGTTTGAGTACGTGTATCGCCTGTGGTCGTCAAACTTGTTTTTTGTTTTGTTTAAAGTTTAATTACTGTTTTGTTTTGTTTAACATTTAACAAAAACGTATAATCACATTAGTTGAATGATAACGAGCAGCAAACATGTTGTTTTTAACACACATAAGGTCAAAATGCCTGGCAATGATGATTAGCGAATTTCAAACATCATGAGGTGCGGTACGTAATAGTGTTATTTTTTCAATTAATCATCGTACACGTCATACTTATGAATTAATTATTACAATAACTTGTCACTTACTTGAGAATTCTCCATAGTAAAATTATTTGTGCAAATATATTACTGCTACGCATGAGTGTATCACCCGCTACGGCGGTGCTACGCGGCTACGAGCCCGCTACAGCGTAGCACGCGCACAGTTTGAGAACCGCGGCCGTTCACCGACGCTCACCGTGTTTTATGGCGCATTATGCTATAATAATATTTTTTACTTAGCACATTTTTGTTTATACCTGCACTATAGATAGACACATGTGTGTGTGCGCGTGTGTGCGGCTGCGCGGGCGCTGCCCGTTCACTTAAAAATATAAAAATGTCGTTTGCTCGTCGTACCGAACGGCGCGGAATCTAATAGCCAACCGAATTTTATGTTCTTTCGCGGTACCAGATTGTGTTACACGGTGGGCCCACAGGTTTTTTTAACCTCTTTGTTGGGAGAATTGACTTTTGTTACGAATGCGGCTCGGTTTATGGTGACGCCCAATTAGCAATGGGTTTCGCAATCTGTGTACCGCACGGCTTTTGTTACACATGATTTATGTCTATGAGCGTTTGGAGCGGCCTCGCAATGGCAATTTAGTTTTCGAGTATTAATTATATATTATGTTAAATATTAAATTTCGAGGTTAGAACTGTTAAAGTAAAGCGGTGAGCTTTTGTTGATGAGTAGCTCTTCTGTTTGATGTTCGGTACTGTTAAGTCGGATTTACTTAGTTAAACAGAGCTTGCTTGTGCAGAACTGGGTCTGAATGATATTTAGTGGTCTTAAAACTATGTATTTACGAGTATTCTTTGGTTTAGTAAACAGTCATATTTCTTAGTATTAGTCGTTACAGTATTGGCATTGATCTGTTTACGTCAATCAAACAGATGGCACTAGGAATAGGTAATAAAGTAATATTATGGTTCAAAGATACTTACATATGTAACTGGCCGTAAAGTTTCAGTGCTGAAAGTGGACTAGGCCTTGTCTTAGTTATAATGGTGACTGTACCTCTATTATAGCAAACTTCATACGATACTAGCTTCTGCCCACGGGTACGCTCGCGTCCCTATGGTACAAAAACCTAAATGCAACTTCAGACCATAATGTATCGCTGTTCCAATTTTCATCCCGATCCCTTCAACCGTTTTGACGTGAAGGAGTAACAAACAAACAAACAGACAGATTAAGTAAGTTTTGATATATTCATAAAATATTACTATCAAAATAAATCATCATCAACAGCCTATAAGTGCCCACTGCTGAGCAAAGCCTCTTCTCACACGGAGAAGGTTTGAGCGTTAATCACCACGCTTGCTCAATGCGGGTTGGCGATTACAAACTTATAATTAGAAATTATAAGCCTAGGTTTTCTCACGATGTTTTCCTTCATCGTTTGTCAGTGGTGTCTAGATAATCTTAGAAAGTACATATAACTCGGAAAACGTCACATTGGTACTTGCCGTTGGTAGGTTTCGAACTCGCACCCTCATACATGAGAAGTCAGCGTCTTAAACCTCCCGGCCACCACGACATCAATATCAAAATAAATAGTCCGTTTATTTCATAGCAACAAGCATTTGTAGTTAAAAGACTTAAATATTGTACCACTAAAAATTCAAAAGAAATAATTAGAAAAAAATGTGTCGAAAGAATAAAAATGTCGTATGCTCATAAACCAAACCATGCAACTAAAAAATAACTTTCACCCAAAAGCCGTGTAACTTAAGCAATCGGTAAAGCACAGAAACATGTAACAAATCCAACCAGAGTTTAATAACTTCATAAAATAAAACGTACATAATATACGCTCCAGATAAATTACGGAGATAGGACGGGTACAGACGGACATACAGGCGAGTAAGCTCATTAATTGGTGGACCACACACGAATGGTACTGTACCATAGTACTATGGTACTGTTAATCATTCACAATTATACAAGTTAATGGGACTTGTTAATGAAAAAACTATCGCGGTACACTTTGACCAACTTAGAGAAGGATTCTTCAATATATAGTTAGATATTTCGTTTTAGATATGTATTTTGTTTAGTCTAGTAGTAGGATCAAAATTCTAAACATGTTTAGAACTTTGCAATGTCTTGTAATAAAGAAACCTTTACGAAGAAAAATAACATAACATCACGCCTTTTATCCCCGAAGGGGGTAGGCAGAGGTGCACACAAAAGTAACACCCAAATTTCACTATTTATGTTATGAGTCCCATGTAATAAGGTGTGAGCCTATTGCCATTACAAAATAAATTCAAGACAATAAGTTTCGCAGCAAATAGTTGGACACTATTAAAAACTATAAGGCATCCAAACTACTATTCCATTTATGAACTTGAAATAGCGACTACAAAACAATAAAAAGTAAGCTCATGTTCAATATTTAATAATTTATTATTTCCAAAAATTTTTAACCAGAACTTAGAATAGACTAGTTTTACAATCCATAAACGAATGAAATGAGACCTAGATTTGAGTTACGTAAATTAGTTTTTAGAAATCCGTATTTAAAGTGTATCAATAATACCGTAAACACTAGTATTATGCTAGTTTTAGTCAGTAAGAGTCTGACACTCCTTCTCGCCTAACCAAAGGCGGGAGAAGTCATAGGATGATTTTTCCCCCTCAAAAAAAGACACTAATATGTTATTTTTGAAAAGTAATTATTTATTTGATAATAATATATGAAAAATTTTGAACATATAAGACTGCCTCATTGCTTGAGAGGTCGCAAGTGAGACTGTCGGGGAAGCGGTCTCGGGTTCGATTCCCGGGTCGGGCAAAGCATTACTGGGGTATTTAAAAAAATGTGAGTCGCAGCACGGAGAAAAAAAAAATGTTTACTACTCA